TTAACTTTAACGAAAACAATTACCATTTGTAATAGGATTTCAAAGTCTTATGTGACAATATTGAAGAAAGAATCTGTTTGGCATAGCGAATTACAAATAGCTGTGGAGGTGTTTAGAATACCGGATTCAGATCATCCCGTGATTTGAAAACATCTCTACCTAAAACAGGAAGCTCATACATATGGCAATGAAAGTAAAGTTCTAGAAGCTGTCATGGGATTTTTCTTTTCTATCAAACTCCAACAAATATCAAATGAATCAAGTATAAATCATCACCTTCTTAAAGAAACCATTTTAATAACCTAACCATTATCATTTATATCTATGAATTCAGAAGGCAGAAATTGGAAGGTAAACTAGTTTATTTCTTCTTACAAAAGAGAAGTAGAAAAAAAAAATCTTTTTAACTCACAAGATAAAATAGGGCCAGAACACTATTCCAAAAATCCAAGTTAGTAATTTTTTACTGCAACATAATGTGTTTGGTATTTTAGAAAAACGTTTTATTTATTTGTCCTGCACCCTGAATGTAGTTCCCTCCCGTATACCCTCCCTGTTTCTCCTCTTCCACTTCCTCCACTCCTCAGAGAAGGGGATCCCCCTGCCCTCCGACCCCAGCAGATCACGTCACATCAGAATTGAGTGCATCCTCTTCCCCTGTGGCCCCGCCAGAAGAAAGTGATTGAAAAGCAAGCATCAGAGTCCATGTCAGAGTCAGCCCCCATTGCCCTTACTAGGAAACCCACATGAAGACCAAGTTGCCCTTAGCTACATGTGTGTAGGGGGCCTAGTCCAGTCCATGCACGGTCCTTGGTTGGTGCTTCAGTCTTCTTATGTACCCCTGGGCCCAGGTTAGTTGTCTCTGTTGGTCTTTCTGTGGCTCTCCTGTCCCCTCTGGGTCCTTCCCTTCTTCCCCCATCGTTTCCACAAAGTTACTGGCTCTCTGCATCTGTTTCCATCAGCTGCTGGGTGGAGCCACTCACAGGACAGCTATGCTAGGCTCCTGACCGCAAGCTTAGGGGTGTATCTAAATGGGTTGGCTGCCTCCCACCGGGTGAGTCTCAGGTTGTGCCAGTCATTGGTGGGACATTCCTTCAGTCTCTGCCTGTTTTTTTCTCTCTGCAAGCTCCCTGTCTTCCTGCCCCAGCTCTTCCAGGTCTGATATCCACCCTCATTTCTCTCCGCGCTCTCCCTTTCTCACCCTGTTCCCTCGCTTCAACCCCTTCCAGTGTCTATTCTATTTCCTTCTGAGAGGGAATTAAGCATACTCCCTTGGGTCCTCCTTGTTACTTATCTTCTGGCTCTGTGAGTTGTAGTGCCGCTATCCTCTACTGTATGGCTAAAACCCACTTAAAAGTGAATTTGATACATTTGGAAAATAATTGAGTGGAAAATGGAAAACTGAAAACAATGTTTCTTTCAAGATCATGCTTTTTTACAGTTTAAAAATGCAAGTAGTTACTTTTCTGTTTGTTGCTATGTGTGTGACCATATGTGTGTTAGTGTGTGAGACACTGTGTACGCATGTAGCATATATATGTTTGTATATGTGCGTGAAGGCCAGAGGCCAACACTAGGTATCTTTTGCTACCAATCTTCACTGTATTTTGTTGTTTTATTAATTTAGATTGTTTTTGATAATTTTTGCGCACCCACGCACACACACACACACACACACACACACACACACACACACTCTGATTACTTTCTCCACACACTTTCCCATTACCAACACTCAACTCCCAAGTCCCTCTTCAAATCCATGTCCTATTGTCTCATTCTGTGACCCACTGAGTTTAGCCAGGGCCGTCTATCAGGCCACAAGGATAGAGCAGCTGCTGTATGTAAGTTTGTAATTGTAACCATTGCGCCTGGACAAAAAGTTGGTGTTCGCAGCCATCTCCCTATCTCACACCCTTTTCCCACCACACTGTCCACATTTCCAGAGCCTTTGAGAGGACAACATGCAGGTCATTCTTACGAATGAAAAGTCTCGCTTCACTTCTGCATTCACTAGGAAGTGGATTATCTTGTCAAGACTGAGAAGCAGCACTTGTCTTTGAATACAAACCGTTTTACATGGTAGTTTGACTGAATGGCAATTTAGCTCAATAATATTAAGAAGCTGCCCTCAGGGCCTATGACTCCCCACCCCCGCCCCCCACAGCCACAGGAATTTTACTAAAACAGATGTGTACTACGTGACACAAATTTTGTCCTGTGGAGTCAGCCGTGAGTACAAGCACAGTGCACTTGCTTGTACTGCACAGTTCCTCCCCCAATGGTGGTTCCATTATTGCACAAATGTAGAGGAACCCCGTTCTTGGGGAGGGGGCCTTCCACTGAGGTCAGCTGGCTAGACTCCAGAATGTAGCCATGGTTGATCAACATGCTTCACCCCTTCTGGCTCTTCCATGTTGTTAGGGATCTGAACTCAAGGCCTCAGGTTTTGGGTAGCAGACACTTTTTCCGGCCATTATCATCTCCCTAGCCTCTTTTATTTACTTTGTATCCCTCCTGTGGTTCCCTCCCTCTTCCTGTCCCAATCCCTCCCTTCCTCCACCCTCTGCATGCATGCCCCTCCCCAAGTCCACTGATAGGGGAGGTCTTCTTTTCCTTTCTTCTGATCCTAGTCAATTAGGTCTCATCAGGAGTGGATGCATTGTCTTCTTCTGTGACCTGGTAATGCTATAAATTTTGGCCAAAAAAAAAAAAAAAAAAAAAAAAGGCTATGAGATACTTAATGAAAGTTTGTTTCTGGCTACACCTGTAATTTCCTTATGGTACTAGTTAACATTACAGTCACACTACTCTGTAAATAGTTTTCTCGTGGAATAATGCGCAGAATGTAAGTATAAAGTTGTCACCACGTTTGAATCAGCCGATACAAACTTAGTTATTTCTTAACAAAATAATTATTTTTTAAATGTTATTTACTCTGGGTGCTGTAGAGCTGAATGTGTTCTTGCTTAGCATATATGAAAAACTGAGTCCTCAGCGCAACAGCAACAGGAAGAAAAAAAAGCACTCAAACAAATGAAACTCCTCTAGAATATTGCTGATGGAGCATCTCTGTAAGGATGCAAGAGAAATCCCTTACTGTGATTCTTCTCTGGAAGATAAACTCAGTGCTTAAAGTTAGATACATATACAGATCCCTCCAAATTTACCTCATCATTTTACTGCTTAAAACCAAAGTAACAACAGAACGTTTTTGAAAATGCTGTGTGATAATGAAATTTTAGTATTTCACATTTTAGGTTAATTTATTTAAAAAAAATTATTACACACTGTGAGTGTCTGAAAATGAAAGCAAAAATAACAGATTAATTCATAAAATCTCTAACAAGCTGAGGACAATTCTCATGAACCAATATGAATTTATAAATATGCATCCGTACAAGCAACTAGCTGATTCACAAGGAAAAAAAAAAAAACTTACAGGATAAAAGAGTCTATCTTTTCATGCAGACATATGCATCTTAATTTTCTTAGCTAACTTACTTAATTTTGGTATAGGACTTCTTAACTGTAGCCCATATTACTTTCACTAGCTTACTTAAGCTATTTTTAGCCAGCATTTTAAAGTTAAGAAAGGAAATTTAAAACAAGGACTCCTCTCTTCAGACAGATGTGAATTTGTCTTGACTGTTTACTCACAAGCACAACTTCCCCGGAGGGTCCGACTCTTAGCCTGGGAGATCCTGGTATTTCAAAAACAGAAAGTGGAACATCAAAACATTTTCTTGGTGAGTAAGACTGACAATACTTAGGGACTCTTGGAGACCTGACACTCCTCAGTAACTCTCTACCTTCCCTGACTCATATTTTTAGAATTGGAAAATCAAACCCAGAAAAAAATGGAAGTGACTTTTTCGACGATGGCTCAGGGAAGAGTTGGGAGGACTACCAAACAGAGGTCATTAAATAGCCCATTGTTCTTTCCATCTTAATATATTCAGTGAGGACAGTGGGCGGAGCCCGGTGAAAAACTGCACAAGCAAAGCTTGTGCTTTCTAAACAATTACAAGTATCTAAGGTCCTGTGCCCTGAAATATTCCCCTCTTCATCCGAATTTAACCCTTACTTGGGAAGTTGTCTCTGAGGAGGTTGTACTGCACTTACAACCCGCAAGGGCGGGTTTCCTACATTTACATTGTATTTTTCTTCGAGTACTGTGAACACAGAGATAGTGAAGGTTGACATTGTGCCTGTTAAAGCACTTCCCATTAGACACTTTCCTGGCTTTCCAAGGCTGCAGCTCCTCTGTGGCCCTTACTATCCAGATAGTGGGGAAAGCTATCCTAAGTGACTCCACTGCCTACACCCAGGAGAGGAAATCCACTAAGAATTGAAAACCTTAAAGGAAGAAAACTGTCCCCTCCTGTAGACATCTCCTACCAAGCCTTGGAGGATGGGAGAAACATGGGAGGGGGTTTTAAGCCTCTGTTAGACTTCTCATGGTGCCGTCTTAGCGTCCCGGAGTTACTGAACGTCTTCCTTCCCAAAAAGTGAAAACTCTATTCCTGAGAAGGAAGATGGTCACTTAACGACAGGAAACACCCGTATCCCAAACCATTTCTTTCCTCCAAACATATTTTTGTGAAAGGCCTTTTAAGCTTTTAGCAAACCACATGAAATGTGTCGATGCAAGTATCTGGTAGGTACTTCTGAGACCTAGTTGAGTTCCACACTGAGCTTCTTTTCTTTCTCCAAATACCCACTTTCCCCACTACGTACATGGAAAAGTTATATGCTGTGTATTTTTAAACTTGGAGAGGTGAAGGACCGTTATTTCCTGCTGAGTGGTGTCCTTTTCCTGGCTTTAAACAAAACCCGGATGTAAGTTGGACACACACACACACACACACACACACACACACACACACACACACACACACA